ACATACAATTTTTCTTCCTGAACACATTGAGCTTTGTCTATTTATCAAGTTTTCTGACTTAGGCATCGGAGAGGTTTCAATTACTATATAATATGATGAATTTGTTACCCATTTTTTTGAGAGAATATTCTAAAAATTTGAAGTCAAGAATTTTTTAATCTAAAAGGGTAGAATTAAATTGGAACCAAACGATTTTATCCTACTAAATTCTGGTTTTATTTCATAACGGAATCAAATTAGTCCATAAACAATAATAATGATCATACATTATTGTTATCAAATATATTTCATCGTTTTATTTTATCGATTTGATGACAAACTATAAAATCTTATCGTGACATATAGTTTGACAACATACACGGATGTCGACACTCCTTGCCCGATGGGCTAGTGAGAGCCACAGAGAACATGATCGCCGGCAAGGTGGTGGTTGTTTGCGGATACGGAGACGTAGGCAAAGGCTGCAGTGCCGCCGTCAAGAGAGCCGGTGCTCGGGTTTTCATGACAGAGGCCGATCCCATTTGTGCTCTCCAAGCTGTGATGGAAGGAATTCCAGTCCTCACTCTTGACGACAACATTGTATCGGAGGCAGACATCTTCGTAACTGCCACAGGGAACAGAAACATTATAACGGTCAATCACATGAAAAAAAATGAAGAACAATGCGATCGTATGCAACATTGGCCAATTTGACAATGAGATTGATGTGCAAGTAAGGAATGATAAACCTAGTGGAGATTATCGCCCCTCTATATATCATTTTTAAAAATCCCTTTATTACAGTATTATTGTTATTAATACTCCAATAAATTAAGATTTTATAAACGAAAATCAAGGAACAAAATATTTTTGTTGCTAATGATAAATTATTTTTCTTTTGGGACCAAACTTGTTGTCTCAAAAAATAATTTTTTTGGGGATAAAATTATTTTGTCATTTATTAATGATATTTTTAAAATTTTGTTGCTAAAACCCTTTTTTGACTTTGTAAAAATGACATTTTATCGATTATCCTCGTGACGATATTAATTGTTTTCCAAATATTTTTTGCAACTAAATTTTTACTTTTGAGATATTAAAATTTGATTCCGAAAATTCTTATATATTGTCATGAATTTTCTTCAATTATACTCTCACACTCTTTATATATTTTTTTCTTTTTCCTTATGTATTTTATTTTAAGTTGTTATTCCTTATAGAATGGTTAAAAAAAATTTCGTGTCCATACTTTTGGATTTCGGTGGTGCTATATGCACATTAGTATACCAACACTAGTTAAGACATTATTATTAACCACACTCATTATACAAATTACAAATATCAAAACATCTTAAATTATGTCACATCATCAATTGATACACTAATTAATACATATAATATTATTATTTAAATTTTGATTATCTCCATTCCATGTATGTAATGGAATATTTTCATTACATATTTAATAACTCTCCGTGTATGTATGTGAACCAGGCAGAAAGAGAAGTAAACTATTACTTGCTCGCAATCTATAAAAAGCGCATTGATTGTGACTTTAGTGTTGATTCTATCATAGAGATTTTGAAAGAGTATCAAAGACGCGTCTAATAAATGTACGTAAAAATTGATGCTGTAGTGTAGTCCATATTTAAGGGAAAAAAATAAAAAAAAAAATGTTTATATATACATTCGCTTAGGAGTGTAAAAATGGCTCGCGACCCGAGTCCCTAGGCTTGGGCCACATTTTAAAGTCTGGCCTGGTCGATTGGCTCTCTTAAAGGCCACTCAAGGCCCGGCCCGACCGGTCTAAGACCCAGTATCTTTTTTAGTAAAAATAATAAATCTTTGAAAAAAAAATACTTAAAATATTAAAAAAATTCAGTAAAAACAATATAACACGGAAAACAAGAAAGTATAATTTTCTCAAAAGAGTTTTTGGAAAACTCTAACCTAGCATAGTGATTGTGGTTTTGAGACAGCTTCATATATATACAGTCACAAAATGGTTTGAATAAATTCTAGTACTTTTTTCTATCGCAAAAAAAATTAAAAAAAACAATATCGTCTTACTCTTTTGATATAACATTTCTCTTTTCATTCATTTTTTCATCTTCTTGTCTCTCTGTCTCTATCTTTATCTCTTATCTTTATCTTTTTCACTCATCACTCTTTTTTCTCTGTCTGTCTGTTTCTCTCTCTCTCATTTTCTCTCTGTGTCTCTCGTCTATCTCTCTTCTCTCCATCTCTCACATCTGTTTTCTCTCGCTCATCTTTATTCTCTCTATCTCTCTCATTTCTTTTCTCTCTTTCTCTTATCTTTCTATCTCTCTCTATCTCTCTCGCTCATTTCTCTTCTCTCTCTGTCTCTCTTTTTTTCTGTGTCTCTCTCTCGCTCATCTCTTTTCATTCTATTTCTCTCTCTTTTTGTCTATCTCTCGCTCATCTCTTGTTTCTCTCTCTTTTTCTATCTCTCTCTCTCTCTCTGTCTCTCTCTCACTTATCACTCTTCTCTCTCTCTCTGTCTACTTGTCTATTTGTCTATTTCTCCCTCATTATGTTCGTCTTGCTCGTTCTCTTACTCTCATGTTCTCTATTTATCGAGCTCATTCTCGATTTATCGATCTACTATAAACGACGTCGCCTTACTCTTTTGAACATTTCTCTTTTCACCCATTTTTTCATCTTCCTATCTCTCTGTCTCTGTCTCTCTTTTCTTTCCCTCTCTTACTCATCACTCTTCGCTGTCTGTCTGTCTCTTCCTTTCTCTATGTGTCTCTGTCTCTCTTTTCTATCTCTCTCTGTCTCTTTGTCTCTCTGTCTCTTTCTCTCACTCATCATTCTTCTCTGTCTGTCCGTCTCTCTCTTTCTCTCTGTGTCTCTGTCACTCTTCTCTTTCTCTCCCTCACTCATCACTCTTCTCTGTCTGTCTGTCTTTCTCTTTTCTCTGTGTCTCTCGTCCAGCTCTCTTCTCTCTATTTCTTTTATCACTCTCTCTCTGTGTCTCTCACTCATCTTTTTCTCTTACCGCTCATCTCATCTACCACCTTCACCACTACTATAAACGCCATTTCACTACCACCACTACTACCACGGTTGCCATTTCACCTTTACGACTACCATTATTACTACTATCGCCACCACACCACTCCACTACCACCACTACCACTATTGCCACTACTACTACTACCATTACCTCTCTTTCACCACTGCCACTCCATCTATTCTACTACTACTACAACTTCACCACTAATCTCCTTCGCCATCACCACCACCACCATCGTCTCTTATCCACCACATTCACCACTACAGCCGCTTCCTCTCCTCTACCACAAAATATTACCTCTCTTTTCTCTCTCACTTATCACTCTTCTCTATCTGTCAGTCTTTGTCTCTGTCTCTTTCTCTTTCTCTCTTTGTCTCTCGCTCATCTCTCTTCTCTCTATCTCTCTTATCTCTCTATCTCTCTTCTCTCTCGCTTATTTATCTTCTCTCTATTTCTCTCTCTGTCTCTCTCGCTCATCTTTCTTCTCTCTCCGTCTCTCTTTTTCTATGTCTTTCTCTCGATTATCTCTTTTCGCTCTATTTCTCTCTCTCTTTGTCTATCTCTCGCTCATATCTTGTTTCTCTCTATTTTTCTATGTCTCTCTCTATCTCTTTCTCTCTCTGTCTCCCTGTCTCTCTCTCTCTATATCTCTTTCTCTCATTGGCCACAAAAAATTAACTTTATTTTAATGGAAAATATTATCCCTACTTCTACCAAATAAAAAAATAATAATAATTTTATATTCATTAAAATAAATATGAAACAAATAAATTTTTAACCTTACTAAATGAAAAAATAAAAATAAAAATAAAAATTCATTAACTATAAAAAAATTATTTTAATAAAAAATAATTTTTTTTAGCAATGACATCCTCCGTTGCGAAAAAAAAAATCCTTTTATTATTTAAATATTCATTTGTAATGAAAATTAGAAAAAAAAAATTAAAAAAGAAAAAAATTCATAAAAAAATCAAAAAGAAAAAAATTCATTTTTTCCCCCCTCTTTCAAATCTAACCGTCCATCTCTCACTCACCATCTCACTCACCTATAACAAACAAAAAAAAAAGAAAAAAAAACCCTAATCTATAATCGGCACCCTCACTCTCTCTCTCTCTCTCAGTCTCACCATCACTCACTCACCATCTCACTGTCTCTCTTTCTCACTCTCTCGTTTCTGGCAGCCGATCATTCAACATAGAAACTTTCTGCACCGATCACTCTCTTTCTCATCTCATCGCACCGATCATCATCTCACAGCCGATCAATCTACTTCACAGGTAAACTCTCTCAATCTCCGTCTCTCTCTCTCCCGATCGTTGATTTTTTTGTTTTATATATATATATATCAGATATATATTTCTCTGATCTGATCTGATCTGTCTCCCTCACTCTCTCATCTCATCAGTCTCACACTCACTCTCTGGTTTTGCATCTCTGCACCGATTGACTCACACACAGGTAAGCGTCTCTCTCTCTCTCTCTCCCTGATCTCTCATCTCTGATTTTTTGTGGACCAACAGATCTGATTTTTGTTGTGGACCAACAGATCTGATTCGAAATATGATCTTAGTTGTGATTTGATTTTTATGACCTTAGTTCGAAATATTTATGATCTGATTTTTGTTGTGGACCAACAGATCTGATTTGAAATATGATCTTAGTTGTGATCTGATTTTTATGATCTTAGTTCGAAATATTTATGATTTGATTTTTGTTTTGGACCAACAGATCTCAGTCTCACCGATCACTCTCTGGTTTGATCTTAGTTCATTACTTCTTTGACTAGTAACTAGACAAGTGATATTGACTGAACTTTGGTTTTTGGTATCTGTATTCTTTAGCTGTGCATCTTTCTTGCATCGAATTCATGTAAGAGTGTTTCCCTCGGATAAGTTTCAGGCCATGAGTTGCTTGCCTTCCCTTTTGGAGTTCATGAGTCATGAGAACTTAGGGGCTAATCAATTAAAAAAGGTCAAAGAAACCATAGAATTTGAAGTTTGTAAAAAGTTGATTTATAATATAATTCTAGTTTTCTTTCTTGGTTCTTTTCTTTTCTGATAAGTCAGTTGTCTTTCTGTGTTCTTTAATTTTATTATAGGAAAGGCTCAGCAAGTATGGTGTGGCCATGAGGCTGTAGATTTGCAGTCAGTTTTATTATGGTCTGAGGACTTTCTTTTTTGTCTTGCGATAAGTTCTGAAAGATTTTTTAAGAAATTTGAAATAAAACAAATCTTCTAAGAGATTTGCGCATTTTCTGATTTGTTATGCTTTCTGTCTTGTATAGGTACAAGAAGATGGAGATTTGTGTAACTCCTTATCCAGCGACTAATGGTCCAGATGAAGTTGCTGGTGATTGAACTGAAACCATCTCTGTTGACTCATTCCACGATGACAACAAATTATGTAAGAAGCATCTGAATGCTTATAAGAGGGTCAATCTAGCTTAGACAACTTGCATAGTTTCTTTCTTTGTTTATTGGTTTTGTTCACACTTGTCCCTTCTTTTAAGAGTATTAATTAATTAATTTATTTATTTATTTATTTTTTTGGGATGGGTTGATATAGTTATTTATGATGTCTTGCACTTCTTCTTCTTCTTCTTCTTCTTCGTCTTCTTTTTTGTTTTGTTTCTTTAAGTCTTTAATCTTTGTTGAGGCTATTGAACAATTAGGGCTTTTGGTCGAGAGGAACCTGTAGCTAGTATGGACAATAGTGGAAAAATCATATGGGCTAAGCACAATGAAATTCAGACTGTTAATATTAGGAGTGTTGGTGCAGATTATGAGGTTTGATTCAATTTTGTTCTCATCTTTTTTTGAATAAAACTACAATGATTTCTGCTCAAGGTGATATTGAAATTCACTGTGCTTTTTTCTTCTCAGGTTACTGGTGGAGAAAGATTACCTTTGGTAGTGAAAGAGTTGGGGACCTGTGATCTTTACCCACAAGTGAGTTGGCCTTCTTTGGATATAGTAGATATTATTTGATATGCTGTGTGATGATTAGAATTTTCACACTAGTGAGCTGGTCTTCTTTTTAAAGAAGCACTTCTGCTATAATTTTCTGATTGAAATACTAAAGCATGCAAAGATATCTGGTAGAATAACTTCAATAAAGTTCAACTTTTCTCCAATAAGTTAAATGCCATATATATATATATATATATGTAGTTGTTTCTTGTTTATTCTTAGACTATTACAATGTTGGACAAGTGAGGATGAAAAGTGAGTACACATAATGACAAGTTTAACCATCATTAATTACCTGTGAACTATGAAGATGAACTTGTTCTTCCAAGGTTTTTGATTTCAATTACTCTTTTGTTCATTAATGCATGACTTCCTTGCAAGAATTCTTCATGCATAATCATCAATTGCTCCGCGACCTGTTTGAGATATTAATAGCTCATGAGCATCACAAATTATGAACTCAACATTGTAATATACAATAAATCGATGTCATGGGAATAAAAGAAAAATATAATAAAAATAGTCTATTCGAATAGAAAACGTACTTCCTCAATACTGCCATCTTCAATATCTGTGTTGAAAGTAAATAGCAAGCTCTCGTGCAACAAGTTCTCCAAATCTTCTATGTGAAGTTGTTCTACAAATCAAAAGGAAAGAGTTGTTCTACAAATCAAAAGGAAAAAAATAAATGTATGTAATAAATAACGTAACTCAATATTGTTTCAATTTCAAAACGAGAAGTGATTTGTCATATAACTGATCTACCTGAAGTTGTTCTACAAATAAAAAAAAAACATTTAGGGGGGGTTATGTTTCAATTTCAAAACGATACGATTAGGAGTCAAGATGAAAATTATCGTGCACAACTTTGCTGCCTCAATTTCACTTCGTAGCGTTATATTTGATAAAGTTGAAGAGCAAAAGTAAATGCAAGATAATAAAACTAAACAAATTATTAATTAATTAATTTATATTTTTTGTATTCGTAAATACTTTATTAATCGTTGAAAAAAGTATTTGTGATGGCGTGGCAATGGCAAAACAAGGGTTCACAAATATTGGGATTGCAAAAAGTTTTTGCGACGGTAGCATTACCATTGTAACTTATTTGTGATGGAAATTTTTCCTTTTAGCGATGACATGATTCCAACACACATAATATATTCAAAATAAGCAAATGAGAGCATATGTATAGATGGTTGTAATGGGTTTTTTTAAAAAAGAAAAAAAGAATACAATATAAGGAAATCAGACAAATAGAAATCCAATATACACACTTTTAATATTATTTCTTTTCATTTTATTATTTTGAATGAAATTTTAATAATTTCTAGCATATATAACATGATGAAAATCTGTAACTATTGTTGTTCTACATGGTAAAGATTGATTTCAAGTGACCTTGCTCAAAAAGTTTGTGTATCATTTTAATTCCAATAAAATAAGTTTTGGGTTGAAAGCTCAAGACTAGACTAAAGCAGGTAGTAGTTTTAATTGAATAGTGTCTTTACAAACCATACAAACAAACATTATTGTTTTGGTGTGCATGGAATGGAATCTCTGGTGCGGGTGGCTTATGAGGAAGCAAGAACAGGAATAGACCTTTTGATTGGGAGAACCAAGAGAGGATATCAAAGGTGAGTTGGTCGAATTTTTTGAGAGAATCACTGCCTCCCCACTTGTTTTGGATGGCCATTTGAAGGCCATTCCATCCAGACAAGTGCATTGAGATTCCCTCTCGGAAAACAGAGGTGGCCTTAGCCTTGAGAGAATAAGAGGGTGTTCTTGAGACGGAACTTGTATTAAATGGTTCCATTCAAAACACATCGATTCAAGTTCCTTCTCTTTGTGAGATTCTTTTGTCTTTAGCTTTTAGTTCTCTATTCTCTCTCCTCTTGAAATCCCACCTCCCTTGTTAAAGAGACAAAGATAGGGATGGGAAAACATTAAATTTGAATGAAGGTACAAAGTTAAGAAAAACAAAGTGGCGTGAAAAGTTGGGATCGGTAGGAGACAAATTCGGAAGGTTGAATGTTTAGCATAGGAGTAGGAGTAACAAAAATGCTTGTCACCCACTTTCCTACGCTTTCACTCATCCAATCATCCATTTTCCTATTCAACTCTTTTCTCATTGTCTCTTGGCTTATGATTCATCCCTCTAAAATTAGAGTTCTAATTGAACTCTAGTAAAGTGAAAAATAGAGTAATGAAACATAACTCTAATTTAAGAGCTCTAAATGGAGCTCTAGTGAGGTGGAAAAAAGAGAGTAGAGAGAAATAAAGAGAGGAGTGTGAGCCCCACCTTCACATGAGTACTCTCCACATCATTAGAGTTGTATTAGAGCTCTCAAATATTATTGATAAAAAAAATAAGACTAAAATATTATATCAGAGTAGAACCCACTTTCCATTAGAGCTATTAGAACTCCAATATTAGAGCTCTAAAGCATTTATATCGTCTCCCTCTCATCTTTCCTAACAACCATAGATCATAAATTATTGCACAAAAAATACAGAAAATAAAAAAAAAAATTTAATTTTTAGTGGACACCCTGTTTTTTTTTTGTGAGCAGGGAAAGCTTTGGTTTCTCCAATTGAGAGATATGCAGTTGTTCCTGATGACAACGTAAGTGTTCTTTCCACAGTTTTCATTGTCTTCATTACTGGTGTTTAAATAGTTGGTTTCTCCAAAAGATTATAATTTGCAACTGTTATCTATTTATTTGTAGGTCAAAAGGATAAATTTTGCCGAGGGGAAGATCTGATTCTAGAAGTAAGGAATTTGCAGCTTGATTTTTGAAATAGGCTCAAAATTGAGATCTTGTTGGAAATTTTTTAATTTTTGTAAGAGCATTTAAATATCCAATGTGCTGATTGGTGAATTTTAGATTTTATTTTATTATTTTATTTTTTTTTAGGATTTGGGTGAATTTTATAATTTAAATATGCTTTTATGAACATGTACAGTTTAATTGTTCTTTGTAAAATATTGAATTTGATGGTTTGATCAATTTTTATTTTTGTTTTCTGTTATGATATTTTTGTGAATGGAATGTATATAATCAGCTCTGAGAGAGAGAGACGGCACCACCGTCGGAAAAAATAGAAAATTTTAATATTTTTATTAATTTTGTTACAGGTTTTACTTTTTGCGACGACATTATACTGTCGCAAAAAATAGAAATTTTATTATTTAAAATAGAAATTTTATTATTTTTTAATATTTTTTGCGACAGCATTACACTGTCGCAAAAAATAGAAATTTCATATTTTTTATACTTTCTGCGATGGCACTACACCGTCGCAAAAAAGTGTTTTTTTTTTTAAAAAAAAAAAAACTATTGGCGACGGTATTTTTTGCCGTCTCAAATAACATTTTTAGCGACTGCACGGTGCCGTCGCAAAAAGGCAAAACATTAGCGACGGCACTTACCGTCGCAAAAACTCTTTTGCAACCCCTGCAGTTGCAACCCCCCTCTTGCCGTCGCAAAAAGTCATTTTGCCGTCGCAAAAAGTATTAGCGACGGCATTAGGAGTATTAGCGACGGTATTTTACCGTCGCAAAAAGTCAATTTTTTTGTAGTGTGACATTATTATTAACCACACTCATTATACAAATTACAAATATCAAAACATCTTAAATTATGTCACATCATCAATTGATACACTAATTAGTACATATAAAATTATTATTTAAATTTTGATTATCTCCATTCCATGTATGTAATGGAATATTTTCATTACATATTTAATAACTCTCCGTGTATGTATGTGAACCAGGCAGAAAGAGAAGTAAACTATTACTTGCTCGCAATCTATAAAAAGCGCATTGATTGTGACTTTAGTGTTGATTCTATCATAGAGATTTTGAAAGAGTATCAAAGACGCGTCTAATAAATGTACGTAAAAATTGATGCTGTAGTGTAGTCCATATTTAAGGGAAAAAAATAAAAAAAAAAATGTTTATATATACATTCGCTTAGGAGTGTAAAAATGGCTCGCGACCCGAGTCCCTAGGCTTGGGCCACATTTTAAAGTCTGGCCTGGTCGATTGGCTCTCTTAAAGGCCACTCAAGGCCCGGCCCGACCGGTCTAAGACCCAGTATCTTTTTTAGTAAAAATAATAAATCTTTGGTGAAAAAATTAAAAAAAAAAAAGGCTAGGCCAACCCAGGGTTAGGCTCAGGCTCAGGCTCACTGGGCTGATCCGCCCAAGGCTCGAATACCCCTAGGCCTGGGCTTGGACCTACGTCTATATTTTTGGCCTGCGGGCTGGCCCGACCCGACCCGAATTTTGAAAGGAGTCCGCAAGGCCCGACATGGGCCGGGCCGAGCTAGGCTAGATTTACACCCTATTTGCCTCCTCTCTATTGAAATCATAGGTCCGTTCTTGTGTGTAGGGGCTTGCAAATTGCCCAGGGATTAAGCTAGTGACGATTAAGCCATAGACAGACCGGTGGATCTTTCTGGATAGCAACAGAGGTGTCCTTGTGCTCGCTGAGGGTCGGCTTGTGAACTTGGGATGTGGCACAGGGAATCCAAGCTTTGTCATGTCATGTTCCTTCACTAACCAGGTGCTTGCTTTGACGGAGCTTTGGAAGGAGAAAGGGTGGAAAGTGTGGGAAGAAAGAAGTTTATTTGCTGCCTAAGCATTTGGATGCGAAGGTTGCTAGGCTTCACATTGACAAGTTAGGAGGGAAGCTTACAAAGCTCACTCCAAAGCAAGCTGCTTACATTGGTGTTCCTGTTGAGGAACCTTACAAGCCTTCTCATTATAGATATTGAGAGAGAGAGAGAGAGAGAGGGATTTTATGGTATTTGAAACTAGAAAAATGATTTAGAGCACTAAAAGAAGAACATTAAAGGAGCATTAAATTGTCTTTTTCCTCTTTGCGTTTTGTCTTTTTCCTCTTTTCTTTTTATTTTAATTTTTTTTTAGACATGCCACCTCACTAGAGTTGCTTTTAGTGGTCTTCTTTTAGTGG